TTTTCTATGATTCTATGATTCAAATCATACTAGATGGAGGCTTGTTTAATGTCATACAGTTTAAAGTAGGGATAGGCAATTATTTATGCTGGAGGGCCACTTCAGGAGTTTTAGTGAACTGTTGCGGGCTGGGGGTGTGGGGTGCTAGCCTGGCCTGGCACAGCGTGATGGCAAATTGATCCTATCTGGGCCCAGGCCTGTCTGACCTGCAGCCACCACCAGGGGCACTGGACATAGTGGGCAGGCAGGCTATCCATGGAGACCAACCAGGGACCCCTGTGGGCAGAGCGCACTCAGCTGGGTGGATCGTTTGGGGCCACAGTCAGATGGGGAACAGTATACAGGAGTGGGACTGGCGGACAGAGCCTGGATCACAGGGTGGTGCCAGTGTAGAGTCAGGGCCTGGAGCAGAGCCATGATCTGCTCCCTGTATATCCTGGAGACGGGTGCTGTTTCTGCAAGCAGGGACATGCGGGGGCAGATCACAGCTCTGCCCTGGGCCTCAGCCCCACACTGTCACCACCCTGCAATCCTGCCCCAGACCTGCCTGCCCATCCTGCTCCCCAATGCTGCTTCCCTCCCACCCACAGCCATAGTTGGCAGAAGGCCAGGGCTAATGGGACTTAGCCGCCCCAAACATGGGGCAGCGGTGGCAGCACAGAGGGCTGCAGGGCAGCCCAGGCATGGGCTCTGGGCAGCTGCAGCAGTAGGGGAGGGACACGCACAGACTCAGACACACAGCCACAGCCTGCACACAGCCAGGATCACAGCGCAGCAGCATGTGGATCCCTGCCCAGCATGGTAGGAAAGTCTGTGAAGGGGGAGGGGTGGGGCAGAATAAGGCCTCACAGTGAGGAAGGGAGTGAGGCAGGGGCTGGGGTGAATGGGGCCTTGGGGTGGGCTGTGGGACAGTCAGAGCCTGGGCAGCTCATCTAGGGGTACGGGAGGGCTCTTGCTGTTGCACGTACCCCAGGGCAGCCATGGAGGGCATGTTACCCATAGATTTGTGCACAGGGCAGAGGTGAGCTGGGCTCTATACCCCACTACTGCTGCCTCAGGAGTCATGTGATGTCACATGCCTGCCGCTGCTGGTAGGCAAATGGCAAGCAAATGGCATTGTGCAGCTCTCGAGGCAACAGCAGCAGGGCACAGAGCCCAGCCCACAACAGCAGCCTGCCTCCACCCTGCACACAAATCCAGGGGGTACGTGTCACTCGTGCCTCCCCCAGGGTGTGCACAGTGGCAAAAGCCCCTCTGAGCCCCTGGATCAGCCACCCAGGCTCTGACCATCCCACGACCTACCCTTGGGCCCCATTCATCCCTGCCTCTGCCCCACTCCCTCCCTCACTGTGGGGGCCTCGATTTTCCCCTCTACACCTTCCCTTTTTCTTGCCACTTCCCCTCCAGAGGCTTACCTGCTGTGTGTGTGTGCGTATGTGTGTGTGGGTGGGTGTACACTCAGCCCCCAAATAATATAGTCTCCCTCCACCTATGCCCACAGCCCCATCCCATCCCATCTGCCTGGCTGAACACACCCTGCCCATGGGATTCCACCTGCCCACTCTGTTTGGTGCTTCTGGCAGTGGGTGAAGATCAAATGGGCTTGGGTGCCCAGGCAGCAGAGTTAGGTTCAATGGTGGCAGAGACACTGGTGGCAGCTGTCAGGCAGAGTGAGCTGCTGCCATTGGGGCTGCCAGGAAGCCTCCTGCCATGCCACCTTAACCCCACCACATGCCTGGAGGCAGTAGGACTGTGGCAGTATGTGTGCAGACTGGGCTTCCCTCTATGCCTGGGCTAGGCAGGGCCAAGGGACCCGCTGTGGGCCAGATAGAATCGCTTGGTGGGCTGGATCCAGCCTGTGGGCCAAATTTTGCGCACCCCTGATTTAGAGAGAAAACCAAGGTTAAAAAACTGGTCCTGAAAGATTTCCTGTATGTGGATGATGCAGTCATAGTTGCACACAGTGAATCTTCCCTGAAAAATCTCTTGGGCAGATTTTCTGAATCATGCAATAGCTTTGGAATGGCAATTAGTCTCAATAAGGCTGTGATCGTGCACCAAGAGGTGAGAGAATCAATAGCAGACATCACTCTGGAGGATAAATCCCTTGGTGTCATTGACAGTTTTTTGTACTTGAGTTCTACAATCAGCAGAAATCTTGACCTACAGATTGAACTGACTAACAGAATTGGAGAAGCAGCTAAGAAGTCCAGGCTACTACAGAAAAATGCATGGAATAACAGTAAACTATCAGCTAAGGTGAATATATGAATCTACAAGACTTGCATGCTGTCATCCCTGCTTTATGGTTCAGAAATGTGGACTATATATGCTAGGCATATCAAGAGACTGATCTGTGCAAGATCCTTTAAATAAAGTGGGAAGACAGAATACCGAATGGAGAGGTACTGAAGCATGCAGGACTGACACTTAGAAGCCATTATCAAGAAAAGAAGATTGCAATCAATCGGCCATGTCAGGAGAACAAGAGAAGACTGTATCCTCAAGAATATTTTGTATAGTGAGATTTGAGATGGTTCTAGAAATTAGGGCCACCCTCTATGGCAGTACCACAACACATGCAAACATTACATGAAGTTGTTCGACATCAACGTAGAAAGCTGGGAGGAGCATGCAGAATCCTGCCCAATCTGAAGGGAACATCTGGCACTGGCAACTCAACATAGAATCATAGTATCACAGAAATAGGGTCGGAAGGGACCTTGTAAATCTTCAAGTCCGACCCCCTGCCTGGGCACGAGGGAAACTGGGCTCAAGTGACCCCAGCCAGGTAGGCATCAAGCCGCTTCTTAAAGACCCCCAGGGTAGGAGCCAGAACATGAAGCGGCTTTGATCCAGAGGATGGAAGCAAAGCGAGAAAGAAGAAAGCAGTATGCTGTAAACTTGGGCTCCAACTCAGACAATATATGGCTCTGCAAAACTTGTAACAAGCCATGTCATTCTCAAATTGGGCTCATCAGCCACAAAAGGATTCATCAGGCATCTGACTAGACCTCTTACATGTACACCATGATCCAGAGGATTGACGTTGCCTACCAGTTCCAGTATGAATCTAAATTTTTCTTTGTGAAACCAAGATCCATTTACTCATTTGTAGTTCAGTTCCAACTCTAATTTGATTATCAAAACTGTTTTTTTATGTCTTGTATATATGCCACAGGCAGTTCTGAAACCACTAATCCTTGAGATATAAAGGAAATTTTGACAGTGCCTTCTTATACTAACCTTTCAAATAAGTTACATTACAAATCTTGTTAAAAACTTTGCCGATTTTTACTCATCAACCTACTTTGCATGCAGTAATCCAGATGTTTTCCCTCAGAAATATGCTTGTTAGCAAATATGGCTGTATTTGACATAATTAACATTACCAATATCTAAATTTGTTTAATGTTATTGATTTGACCTGTAAGGCTTCTTTTTTTTTCAGAGATATCAACATTAAACAGCATTTTTTTAACTTGGTCAGTTGGTCTACATTGTGTTGCGGGAAATGTAGTCCTCCAAGTAGCCTGACCCATGGGAGACGACCAAGGGCCAAACTATAATTCCCATAAGGCAATGTACAAGGAAATGAAGTTTAATTATATTTTAACTCATTCAAAACAAATCATTTAATCAAATAAAATATTCCTATTTATCTTGAATCAACCTGAAGAGAAATATTTTGTTTCCATTTTCCTGACAGAAAATCAAAAGGTTAAAAAAAAATTCTAAGCTGTGGAAACAGCATATTCCATGGGAGCTATTTTTTCTGACAAAAAATTCCTGACCAGTTATAATGCATATAACTTAAGCTACCCTTTCTTTAAATGTCTTTCTAAACCAATTGTATTTAACTGTATCTGTGCAGTAAGCACTGATTTATTTATAAAAATTATATATTGTTTGTACTTTTAGGATTCTCTAGTTTTCGATAAAAATAATAATTTAAATCAAATTAAATAAATTGAACTTTTGAAAAATAACATTTTAAAATACATTAAAATAATGCTTAACTTACAGGTACCTTTAGAAAGATTGTTCTGTGTTTGGAAGAAGCTTTACACATTATTTTCTTTTGTACAAAACCTAGTGTGCCAAAATTAGTCAGGTTTAACATTCAAGGGCTTGTGTCTATTTATACCATGGCTGAATTTATCATTTTGGTTTTAATTTTAACTTCTTTCAGAAATGAGATTGCCTTAGCAACAGTAAATTGCTCAAGGCAGTAGAAACTAGTATTTGAGTCTCTTACAAGGATGCCAACCAGTTGGCTGACTTTCTTGTCTGATGTTTTTAGGTGTTTGTTTTGCCCCTATTTCCCAGTGAAGTCACTTAGAGATGCCGGTTTCTGGGAGCAATCTGAGCTGCATGTTTTGAAGGAGCACAGTGTGTGTTTCCTGCCTCTTTAAAATGAAAAAGAATCTGGAATTTGTCTCAGAGCACATAATAGGACAGGGAAATCCTCAGTCATGTGAGCAGATGCTCTGACGAGGAGGTAACATTTGAACCCTTTGCCTCCATTTGTGTGGTCTTGCTTCTGGGTCTCATTTGGTAAGGAGGAGATGAAAGTGATCCATTAGTTTTCAGGAGGACATAACCTAGAAAACATGTAGTTGGCCATGGTCAGAGGAAATGTCCGATTACTAACTGTTGTTGTCAGTTTCCCTAAGATCACAGTATACAAGAATGCAGAAATCACACATTACCAAAGGAAAATTGCTGTTTCCTGTTTAAATGCTATTGCTTGTAAAAGCAAGATAATCTATAGATTTGTCACTGTCTTGCTCCTCTGACTTTTGCTGGCTTTATACTCAAAACAGCAGAAAATCTTCAAGGAAGGGGTTGAAAACTGCAGTGTGAGATATATGTGTACACACACACACACACACACACACACACACACACACACACACACACACACGTTCTTTAATTTAAAGGCGTTTTGTCCTTAGATCAAGAAAATAATCAATGGTGCTGTTGTTTTCTTTTAACAGGGATCTGAGCTTTTCCATTTCAGGGTATCAGTTATTCCTGGAGTTTCCTTCTGTAACCTGTTTGATGAATTTCAGGTACCATAAATAGCCATAATCAACCAAGCGTCATTTAAAAATAAATGGTCACAGCATTTCAAATGAAAGAAAAATGAGCTATAACAGAAGCTGTACTTACTAAATTTAGATTGACATGGTGTAGAATGGGGCACTAATCCCACATTTAGTCATTTGTGCAGTCATTTTTCCTCAGATGTTTCCCAGGTTCACTAGCATGGCTCCCACAGCGTTTCTGGAAAGGACAAAGCAGCATGCCAAAGGAGGCATCATAGGTACTACAACAGTGTTTTGTTGGGCTGATCTTGGCAGCCAAGAATGGCCAGATTTCCAGTGACAAAGCAAATCAACAGACAGTGAGTGCTGGCAAACAAAGCTGACTTGAAACTTTCCAGATATCGCTAACTGGTTCCCATTTGGGGGTCCTTAGCTCGAGGAAGAAAGCAGGTAGCACAAACTCAGACTTCATCCAGATAAAGCCACTGCACATCTGTAGCAGTGCTGAACCCTCTGCGGCTCTGTCCGCCATGGTCCATGCCCATCTACTTCCAGCATGCTCCCTTCAAGGAGAATTATTCAGCCAAGAAAATTTGTATTAATTTTCACTTCATCTACAGTCCTCACTCTCCTGGCACATACCCACACCTCCAGAGAGGTTTCTGGATGGAGCACAGCTGCTGAGTGCTGGCCCTCTTTCTATGTGGAGAGGAAGATCAGCGGGACTTCTTCATGTGCACACCATTTCATTGGTTACCTTGCGTTGTTCACAACACTATTCATACCTAGCAGTTCTGCGTAGCACTTTCCATCCACATATCTTATAAACAGTATCATGCCCTCCATTTTCAGATGAAAGAAACATTAGCACAAATAGAGTTCTAAAGTGACATGGGGAGGTGCATCCATTACTATTACATACAATCAAAGAAGTCGATACTGCCCCTGTCCAAAGTGCCTGTAGTTACGAAAGAAAAATGATAAAAGTGAAAACAGGGAAATACCTAGAAATTGCTATCTACACCTTTTTTTTCAAAAATATTTTCTCCACGCCCCCCACAACACAGCTGATACCCAGTAAACAAAACTGTCTTACTTGCATTCCACCACTGAAATGATTTTGCCTTGCTGACAGTCTGGCCCCTAAATTTGAACTTAGCCATTTGTGTTGGAATATTCCAATTGAAGCAATTGCAAACCTGCAATTGATTTCAGCTGAAGTAAGATTGAGCCTTTGATTGTCAGCTTCTGGGGGAAAGAACCTTTAATTTCTTTCCATCTGTTGAGAACACTAATTACATTAACAGATAAGTTGTTGGAAATATGAAAAATTTGCTGTAGATTTTTAGTAATTATTGGAGGTAAACAATAAAACGATTTGTTAAATATTTTCTTTTGCAGATTTATGTTGATGATGCTCCATTGGCCTTCCCAGGACAGTATCTTACTATCTCACTAACAGCTGTATTAATAGGAGGCATTATCTTTGTGACATTTATGGTGCAAGTGTATGATGTAAATATATGGAAAAAAATTAAAAGTAGAAGTTGGAGAAAGAACAAAATAGGAGCATCTGAAACGAGAACTACTGATACAGACAATTCTGCTTCTTCCTAGCTTGGATATCTGTATATTTTCAAGTGAACTGCAAAGCCAGCTGAACTCAGTAGCCAGTTACCAGCCCTTTTCCCTCACCTTATTAAGTCTATGTCTTTCTTAGATATTTTAGTAGTACTTAGAAGTAATTTATTTTATATTTTATGTTATTAATCTTCCTCAGTTGATGTTCCTGAATATGCAACTTTTTTGTCAGAATTTGGTTTGTCTTTAGAAGATACGCGTTTTGAAATCTACAGGAAAATATACATGTTTGCAAAATTTTGTTTTACAAAAAGCTTTTGAGAACATGTAAAGTACTTTGTTATGTTTGTTTGCTGTGAGGTACTACTAAACCTGAGCAAAGTGGCAGAATATGGCAGAATCTAGCCGTATTCCTCTCCTTACAGAATATCTTGTGATTAGCTTATCTAAGAACTTGCAACAACCAAAAGAACTGTAATACCTTGTTAAAAATAAAGACTACATCTGAATTAGTAAAGACAAATACATGAATGAATGTTTAATAACCCCTAAGAGTTATGGAAGGGCTAAGGTGACTTGTGGTAAAATATTCAGTAGTGCAGCTGAAGGGGTAACTTGAACAGCAGCCCTGGATCCTGCATGGGTACGGGGTGCACAAAAATAGCCACCACCATTGGCACTGTGAAACTGGTGCTGTCTCGATCATCAAGGCTTCATGGCTGCCCTGCTTCATCTTTGAAAATATTTCTGGGTAGTTCTGATCACATTATACACTTATCTTGCATTTTGTGTACTTCAGCTTCACTTTTTGCTACTAATAAAGCATGCCACTTGAAGGCAGTAGACACTCCCTACCCACAATACTGATAACACTAAGCTTCTGGCTGAACCAAACCAGAAGCTATCAAGTTACTTTTTTTCTCTATAACCCAGCAAATATCTTAAACAAAGGAACAGCTCCAACAGGAGAGGATGAGGAACTGACTGTATAATCTAATGGCTAGAACACTTGCATAGGATAGTTATTGGCTGTGGAGTAAAACTTACCTAAGGAAGGTTACTGGCTCAGCTGGGATGAGGCAACTCTTCTGAGATCAATATTGGCTGTTCTGAGTGAGTCTGAGCTAGTGAGGGAAGTTAGGACATATTAGGGTTCCATGGAAGAATGGCTGAGGAAAGCAAGCCCACTAATTCTTGATGTGCCAGTCAAAGGAGTTGTAACACCAAGTGCTTCCTAACTCAGAAAGCTAACTGTGTTAGCTACTGTAATTAAAGTATCATATATATATAGGGAAATCATTTTCCTTGACTCTGTATTTTTAGCTAATTTTGAAAAAGCAAATCGACAGGCGTATCTACACATTGCCCTATGGTGACGTTGTTACTGCGCTGCGCTTTAGTCCTTTTAAAAGTACTAGAGCATTATGCAGTAACTGCCCATACTGTGTCATATGTGTGGCGCATGGTTATTTTTAGCCTCTACTTCGCTGTAATGGCACACTATAATGGGGGAGCACACCACTACAGCAAAGTAGCTGCTGGTCATGTGTAGACTCAAGTGGTCAGTCACTATGTCACCATAGCATGATGTGTAGACATATCCTACAATGTCCAAAACAAATCTATGTCCTCTTCTTGAAGACTTCCTGTAACTGGATGGACTGTACCTTTAAAAGGGAAATCAACCCTTGTGAAGTCCAGCTGCAGGGCATTCTGATAGGAAAGGCAGCAGTGCTGTGTCCTGCTAAGAGCTTTAAAAAGCTCCTGGAAGAGTAAGAAGGGGAAGAGGAAGCCATATGTGAGTAGAGTAGTTTCCTACAAGGAAGCGTTTAGGCTGTGGTGCTGGGGCTAGAGCCAAAGCCTGTGGGACAGGACAGAAGCTTTTGGTTTGTTAACTGATTCCTTGTTTGTTGTTTAACACCTGTGTTTTATTTGGAAGGACTGGCTGAGAAACTTTTTAAGGAGCAAAATCCACCTGTGGGGGCCAGTAGGCTAGGCAACCTTCTTATTCTCCCCCCAAATACACTATCTATATATATATATATATATATATATATATATATAGTGTGAGTTCATGGTTCTCTGAAACATGGTTAAACATAGTACTACCAAAGACAAAATAACAAATTTCCTTTAATGGTTTTTAGCTATGTATATGACTTTTGGGGGGTTTAGGACTTATTTTGGTGATTGTTGAAGACTTATGACTTCTCAGTATGAGAAGGGCAGTCTAGTGAAATTGAATGTGTGTGTGTGTGTGTGTGTGTGTGTGTGTGTGTATAAAAAAAATCAATCCAAGCTACTGGATAGTCCTGTGCTAGTCATCTACTCTATTGCTATTTTACTCCCTATAAAACAGTAATAATTATCTTCTCTACTTCCTTAGGCAACTGAGAATTAAATAGTGATTATTTTTATCACTTTAACTTTGTAAATTACAGTTCTCCACAATGTCCTCTACACACATTAACACCTTACCTGCTAATTTGGAGCAAATGCTGCACTACTTTTTTATGGGATAAGAATTTCTTTATGGAAAAAAATAAACAGTTTTTGTGAATTGGGGGTGCATCACCTCACTTGCACTCCAAGGCAGATCAATTCTATCAAATAAGAGATGATGGTACCTCTGACAGTCTAGGAAATTATGGTAGTCTTTCAAGTACCTGTTTTTAAATACAAACCAAAGACTGGATCCTGAGAGGTGCTAAGAACCCACACATTTAATTACCCTGGTTTCAGTAGGAGATGTAAATGCTCAAGAAAATGTCTTAAGGCACCTTCATAGCATGCATTAGCCTAGTGCACTGCTGCTTTTATGCTGAGGACAGCGATGGCTTTCCAGAGAGCTCTGATAATTGAGCTTTTCTATGTACTCCACTTATGTGTGTCTAGTGGAGAATTTAAAGCGTTTATCCTGTTTTGAGCAAGATAATTAAGATCGTCATAGTGTTGTAAACTCAGAATAGCAAAAGGTGAAGCAGAGAGAGCCCATTTTAAGTGACCTCAAGTGATGTTAAGTTTCATACTAATGTTTTGCTATTTTTCCAGAAGGCTGAATATAGCAGGCATGAATTTTCAGATGGCATTTGCAGTGATGTGATCTTGTACAGTCTATAACCACATACAGCATCAATTGTATAAATTCAAGAGATGATGGACTCTCAGCTGTGGTCTCAGTGGAAGCTGTATAATCTGTTTAGGAAGGAGGGGAGTTAAGCTAATGCTGAGTACTTCTTAAAAGTCTTACCTAGATGGTCCAAACACTAGACAGTATTTTGCATTTAGATGAAGAGATGTACTGAAAAAGTTACACTGACAGAAAGCTGGGTTTTGGCTTTTATGCAATTGCATATACCAAAAAATTGTTCAGGCAGTATTGCATCTACTAATCCATTTGTCCACAAGGCCTATAGCTCATCTTAGAACAGGGGTGTCAAACAGCTGTGGACTGGATCTTGCCTGCAGAGCTGCTTCACTTGGCCTGTCAGGTTACCGGTGGGTCAATGGAAGTTGCAGGGCATAGCCAAGGGAGTGGCCTTCTGCAGAATCCAGGGTCACTGGGCCCTGGTGGAAATGGCCTTTAGCAACAGGAGGGCAAGCACAGGCTGTGCCAACAGAGCCCTACTGACCCTGTCGCCACTTGGCTTGCTACTACTTGCCCTACTGCCACTGTTTGTACAGTCCCTGAGCACAAGTTCTGCTGCCTGTGCCAGTCATGCTGCCATCACCCTATGCCCTGGATTGAGCCCTGCAGTCTGGGCACAGAAGGAGTATAACACCCCTGCCCAAGAAAGGAATCCTGTTTGTTAGGCATGATTTGCTCTTGATGCATCCATGTTGTTTGCTAATTACCACTTTGTTACTCTGTAGAAGCTTCCAAATTTTTTATGGCTTTCTTCAGGTTCTTTTCAGTGTTAGTTCATAATCCAGTCCATTATTCCTGAGTCTCCTTCTCCCTGCCCCCTTTTTTAAAAATGGTCATTAATTTTCCTCTTCTGAGACCTCATTTGACCTTCATCATTTGTAGGCTGCAAGTACATTAGCCTACTCCTTGATCCGAAAACATTTAATCTATGTAGGTAATCACTTACTAGTTCTTT